CCAGAGTCATCAGGATGTGTTAGAGCTTCTTAAAACAATATTACTAAATGAGCCTAAGTGATTTTTTTAACTTAAAAAAAATCTTTGTTTTGTTTTATTATTGCTTTAATAGCAATATATGGCAGTGGGTGAAAACGTACCTTTCATATCAGGTATAGCTTCTTTTTCTTTTCTTTTTTTTTGTTTTAAACATGTTGTTTGGAAACCGAGTCCTTGTGTATTAGATTTAACATAGATGACTGATCACACTTTTTCTTTTACTAACTTTTTGTTTCAGCATGTTTGAACTAATACTGCTAAAAATAGAAAGTAAACAAAACAGCAGAAATGATATAAATAAGTGGCAGGCACATTTTATCTTAGCTAAGCACTGAAGTTATGCAAAGACCTTAATAATGACATGTATTCAGTATAAGCTTTGGTTATCTGTAAGAAAGTGGTGGGTATTTAGAGCTGGTTGCTAAGGAAAGTAAATTCTTTTTTTATATAGTGTGACTCATGCTTTCAATTCCTAAAGAGAGAGAGAGAGGGGAGGGGGGGGAGAACTTGCTCAACTATAAGAAAAGATCACTCTTGTAGCCAATATATTAAAGTTATAATCGAGTTGGTTCACTTATGAGTTTCTTACAATTTGTATTTAAATCCATTACAAAGATTTCAGTGTTATAAGCAGGGGAATAAAAGGCACATTATGGGAAGTTACATGAAGCAAGCCTGGCTCACAGCTAGTTACAGTGCCTATTTTAAGATATTTGCTAAAGTAGCATTTGTCAAACAATATCTGAAAATAGCATTTAAGATATCCATTCAATATTTTTGTGAAAAGTGCATGCAAAGTTACTGTAAGTTTTGACCATAGCTGCTTTTTAATTGTTTTGTGTGACTTCAGAAATACATTGCTAGGCAAATAGAACAATTTTTAACAACATTCATTTTGGTTGACACTTTATTGTAGGGTCACCAGATCAATATGCTTTATGTATTTCAGTTTGATTTTTAATCTTTGCTTGAGCTCTTCAGTACTATATTAAAAAGATACTAGCCCCCTGGTAGATAGTACTCTAAGACTTAAAATGTTCTTTTATTGAAAACTTTAATATGCTTATTAAGACATATCATATATTGTTGTTTCTTATAAAAGATTTATAAACATCTTACATTTCTTCAAAATACAGAAGTATAAGCATGTATTTGACAAGTTAAAGATTACTAATTAGATATGAGCTGCTTAGATTATGTGCTGAATTGTGGTACAGTATATGTTGTTGCCTGCAATGAATTGTGGGAAATTACTAAATTGAGAATATATAT